AAGCATTACAAAATTAGTCTCACTATGATTATAACTATTAAGATTATGTATGCAGATAGAGAAGGGACCCAAGGGAACCAAGAAAATTATGTGTTATGGAGTTACATGACTTTCATTTCTATTTTTAAAAAACTATTGTTATAATTATGGGAAATATAGTGAAAATAAGGAAATAATGGAACCTTTACAAAAAAGAAAAACAAAATTCAGATTCCTTCATCAAATGTTCTCATTCTACCTTGGTCTCTGACTTCACCCCTCACTACTTTCTAGCATATGTTGTTCCTTAACTTGAGCTACACTGTGTAAAGTCCTTGCATGTTCCTTCTATCCCTTTGCTTATATCATATTTCTTATGTGCAATGTTCTATCCTCATTCTTTCTGCCAATATAAATTCCATGCTTCTTTCAAAGCTTCATAATGATCCATTTCCTTCAAAATCTTTTCTAATTGACTCCATTCCATAGTGACCTTTCCCTTATTGTCATACCTTTCCCACAACTAAGACCTGAAAAGGATATCTGAATCAAAAGTCACTCCAAGTTGTGACTTAAGAAAAGTAATTTAGGGTCTTCTGAAATACAAATTATTTGGATGGAATATTCCTTCTTTTATTGTTAATCCTCACCCAAGGATATTTTTTCCGTTGATTTTTAGAGAGAGTGGAAGGGATGGGAAGAGACAAAGAGAAACATCAATGTCAGAGAGACACATCAATTGGTTGCCTCCCACATGCACGCGCTCCCGACCAGGGCCAGGAATTGAGCCTGCAATTGAGGTATATGCCCTTGACCGGAATCGAACCTGGGACTCTTCAGTCCTCGGGCCGACACTCTATCCACTGAGCCAAACCAGCTAGGGCAGAATATTCCTTCTTACTGTTTTATTTTTAACTAAAAATATACTTATAAAGGCTTCCATAGGCTCAGTCAAAATCTCGGTCCTTCTCATTCTATCCCGTTCCCTAATGACTAAAAACCTTAGTCCCTAAATTCTCTTACAGTGGGGTTTTTCAACAACAATCTCCAGCCTTCTTCCCAAGCTGTCAAGAAATTTGAGGTTATACATAAAGTCCATGTAAGTTTGTGCTTAAGATTGTGAAAATGTCCTAGCGGATTCCTCATTGACCTTAGAAAAGTTACTTTTATTTGAGTTTCTCTTTTCCTCTTATATTAAAATTTTTTAATATATATTTTTATTGATTTCAGAGAGGAAGGGAGAGTGAGAGACAGAAACATCAATGATGAGAGAGAAGCATTGATTGGCATAACACCTTAGACTCAAATCCCTTTTAATAGTAAGGGAGAGCCTTAGCTGGTTTGGCTCAGTGGATAGAGCGTCGGCCTGTGGACTCAAGGGTCCCAGATGCAATTCTGGTCAAGGGCACATGCCCAGGTTGCAGGCTCAATCCCTAGTAGGAGGCACGCAGGAGGCAGCCAATCAATGATTCTCTCTCATATTGATGTTTCTATCTCCCTCTCCCTTCCTCTCTGAAATCAATAAAAATATATTTAAAAAAAAGGAACAGAGACCAATGGAGCTAAAGTACTAGCAGAAATAAGGTATCAATGTGCTAAACATCAAAAACTGAATTTAAAACTATAGAATGATATGTATATTTTAAATAACACATTAGCCCATTCCTTTATTTCTATGCTTTCTGAGACATTTTTGAAGTACTCTGTTTCATAAAATGATTCCAGCATCTCCACCTAGACTGTAAGTTTAAGGATCTAAAATCCTTTGGTAATACTCCTAGTAGCTTAACATAAGAAGAAAAGAGCCCTAGCCAGTTTGGCTCAGTGGACAGAGTGTCAGTCTGTGGACTGAAGGGTCCTGGGTTCAGTTCTGATCAAGGGCATATGCCCGGGTTGCAGGCTCGATCCCCAGTAGGGGGCGTGCAGGAGGCAGCCAATCAATGATTCTCTCTCACCATTGATGTTTCTCTCTCTCACTCTCCCTTCCTCTCTGAAATCAATAAAAATACATATTAAAAAAATTTTTTTAATATAAGAAGAAAAGAGAAGCTCAAATAAAAGTAACTTTTCTAAGGTCAATGAGGAATTAGCTAGGACATTTTCACAATCTTAAGCACAGACTTACATGGACTTTATGTATAACCTCAAATTTCTTGACAGTCTTTTTCTCTTACCTGTTTTCTCCTTTTGTAAAGTACCTTTTGATGTCAACAAAATAGAAATTTTTATTTAAAAGGCATGCTGAGTGTTGTATCCTGTATTTTTCAACAACACATATGACAACCATCTTAAAGTAGTTTATACTAGTATATTCCAGCTTCATGTTCCACTCCATATCCTGCTCCTTAATAGCCTTAAACTTAAGTCAACTAATAGTTCCAACAATGTCAGACAAATTTTACTAATAATAAGAAAAGTAAACAAGTCCAGAGATGATTATTACTGAATCAACAATACAACCAGATTTTCGAGTGTTATGCTAGAGCTTTTGATTTTACCTTCCCACAGGTATGTCTCAGCTTTCATTTGGCCTCAAAGTGAAAGCAGTTATTTGTATAATTCCCCTAGCGCCCCAGCAAGGGTAATGTAATCTTACTGTTGGAAATTTGTTAGAACCCTTTGCTTTGCTTTTACACTATAACCAACACAAAAAAAATGGCTTCCTAAGTGACATTAACTCCAAGGTCTGGTTCAGTGCCAAATGGAGTTAGCTCACCTGCCAATTATGTCTTGAAGTAACAACTATAAGGGACACTGAAATAAGGTAGTTTAAAAACCCAATCAGCCAGAGAGAAGGGTTTTATATCAGCAGGAAAGGGCAGGTAATCTCTTTCCTCAAAGTAAATTGACCTGGTTGCTATGTCTGCTAATCAATCCTAAATACACAGTTCCCAGGTAGGAAACCATTTCATTTGTCATTTACTGAAGGAGGCTCCCCCTGGCTGGGTTCCAAGTCAACAGGAACTCACAAATCTCTCTCCCGGAACTGTGTTTCCTGCTTCAGGCTGGTTCTGAATGGAATCAGATCCTGTGGCTAAGTAACCAGTAAACTAAGCAATCATGGAGACCAGAGGCTTATCAAGGCAAAGTTGTGATGACCTACTCTTAGCACTTTATTCTTTTCCAAATGAGCCAACAATATCTGATATGATCATAATCCAGGGAAAAGGGCATAATACTTCTTTGAAGAGGTACAGAAAGAGAAGAAATCAGTTACTTAGAAAAATTTCCAGAAGTTAGAACTTAATTTAAGGTGAGTTTGGGATAATTAGTTGGATTTAGATAAGTACAAAGATATAGAAGAGCATATTACATATTAGGCTAGGGAAGTAGAGAGGAAGTGTGACTGTTAAGTTTTTGAGACAATGGTAATCAGGCTGGAGCAAAAATGTTTGTAAGAAAAACAGAAGATAGGACATTAAGTTTCTAGTTATAAAGCCTGAAAGGGGAAACTTGGGATTTAGAACAAAGCATGGATAGACAAGTATATGAATTACCTATCCTAGAAGTAGTTTTTGGTTATAATGGCTGAATGAACCACTCTAAAATCTACAAATGGTAAACACAGGGGTCAGGAACTTTTTGGAGGTTTTATTCTACATCTTTGTTAATTCACTCCTCTTCAATTCCAGAGAACAGGAGGACTGAGACTACCCATACTCCCACTATTTCTGGTCTGCTGTGGCATAACGTAACCAGACTAAGTTTGTAAATAGAGACACAGTTGAGCATGACCTAAGGCAGCGGTTCTCAATCTGTGGGTCGCAATCCTTTTGGCTGTCGAACGACCCTTTCACAGGGGTCGCCTAAGACCATCCTGCATATCAGATATTTACATTACGATTCATAACAGTAGCAACATTACAGTTATGAAGTACCAATGAAAATAATTTTATGGTTGGGTCACAACATGAGGAACTGTATTTAAAGGGCCAGAAGGTTGAGAACCACTGACCTAAGGAAACATGACAGGCAAGAAAACAGATGGCTGGGAGGAAGAATGGCATAGGTTCTCTTTATTCATGAATACTTCCTCTCATTTTTCAGAAATTCAAGCAAGTTTTACAAATAAGCAGAGCAGACAGTCCTCTATCTCAAAATGCCAACATAGCTGCTTTCTTCCCATAATTTTACTTAATTTGTTCTTTAAGTCCTTTCTAACTTCAAAAAAGTCCCTTTATAAAATGCAAATGCTTCCCAAAAAGGAGTTATGGTTTAAATATCAATAAACACTAATACCAAATAATTAAAACAGCGTTGGTACTCTAGAAAACATTAGAATATATTTCTCCCCCCAAAAAAGATTCTATGATCAAATACATGTGAGGAACAGCACAGTATATTTCCCTCTTGAAGATTCACAATGCACATTAACATTTTAAAGGCACTAGAAGTGCAGTAGTAAAATTTTTGTTAAAAGTATTTTCAAACTTATTTAACTACCAAACTGTATTTCCCCTACAGAGTACATATTAATAAATTTTAAGATATGAGTATCTTATCCTGTGCTCCCTGGACTCAGTCTTCAACTCCCGCAGATATGAGTATCTTTAAGACACAGTTTGAAAAATACAAAATTAAAAACAAATCAATGACTCATAATAGAGCACAAATTAGAATGGGGGATGTGTTAGGAAGGATGAAAGGAGGTAGGAAAACAAAGACAGATCTCTCCTTCTTTATTTTTTTCACAAATATCATGTCATTGATTATATATCCCTAAAGTGAGAATGCATAATTGTTTGTCCCTTTCCAAACAATATGAATTTCAGGCCCATATCTAGAGCATTGAGTTCGCTGTCCCACTCATTCCCACACTGTCACCAAAAGCAGCAGAACAAAGCAGAAGGCTAACTCTATCATGGGATTTTAACGTCTCTCCCACTATGTAAAGTAGTTAGGAGTCAGGAATTAAAGGCACTAGAAGTGCAGTAGTTGAATGGTTGACCTAGTGCATTGATGAATGGTTGACCATCTTTATAAATAATCATTTTTGTGCTACTGATATCAAATTAACTTACCAGCTCTGCAATTCAGCAAAAGCTTGTTTCATTTTCTTAATGGAAGCATCCATCTCTTCTTTAACTACAACTCGATATCGTGCAAGAGACACTGTGCAGCGCTGGAGGTCTTTCACAGATTTTTCAATATTGGAACCTTGAGGAAAAAGCCCTAAAGATTAATCTTTAAAAGTATAGATAACTTGAAAGATGGATATGAACACCTAAACATGTAAAGTAACAAATGTGTGGACTAGGAAAGTTTCCCAAAGGCTACCCTCTTCAACAAAAAAACTGATGTTTTCACAGATTTAAAAAAAATAATAAGCCCTAGCTGGTTTGGCTCAGTGGATAGAGCATCGGCCTGTGGACTAAAGGGTCCCGTGTTCGATTCCGGTCCAGGGCACATGCCCAGACTGTGGGCTTGGTCCCCAATAGGGGACATGCAGGAGGCAGCCGATCAATGATTTTCTCTCATCATTGATGTTTCTCTCTCCCCCTCTCCCTTCCTCTCTGAAATCAATGAAAATATAAACATAAATAAATAAATAATAAGTATCCTGACCAAGAAGTAATAGGAATTTAAATTTACCCTCCTATCTTACACAACATCTTACACAACACACACACACACACACACACACACACACAAAATCTGAAGCAATGATTTTCAAACAGTGGACAATAGGCAGTACTTTTTCCTTGAGAAAATAGAAATAAAAGAAGTGAGGTCAATGGCCCAAGAAAGTTTTCAGGCTGTAATGCAAGGAGCAGAAATCCTAAACTGAGCCTGGAAGTCTCCCTGACTTGTGGGGACAGTGTTGAGAATTCAGGGAGGTCAAGTTTAGAATTCTCAGAGCAGAGTACTGGAGAGGAGAGAGCTACACAAAGATGAGAGAGTTGTACAGAGATCTACAGAGGACTCTGAATGCATGAGTGTGAGGAAACTATCCAAGACAGGAAAAAGAACTGCTGGAAAGGAGCAAGTGGAACAATCCCCAGAGCGCACCCGGGCCATGAATAGTTCATTTTCATACCAGCCAGAGTGAGGCACAAGGTACAGCACTGGAAGTGCTTAGTAATGATGCAAAATTAGCTCGAGAATAAAGGCTGCTCCAGTACAACCTAACAAAGCTTAAAAGCAAGTCTCAAACTGTTTCCAAAGAATAGTCCCAGAACAAATTACAAGAAAAATTTTAAAAATACAAAAATATCCAGAAATCAACAAATTCACAACGTCTGGCATCCAAAAAAAAAATTACTAGCCCAGGTGGTGTGACTCAGTGGTTGAGCATCGACCTATGAACCAGGTCATAGCACATGCCCGGGTTGATGGCTCGATTCCCAGTAGGGAGTGTGCAGGAAGCAGGCGATCAATGATTCCTTCTTTCTCTCCCTCTCCCTTCCACCCTCAAATCAATAAAAATATATATATTTTTAAAATTACTAGAAAGCCCAAGCCAGGTGGCTCAGTTGGTTGGAGCCTTGTCCCATACACCAAAAAACGTTGTGGCTTCAAACCCCAGTTGAGATGTGTACATTGGAGGCAACCAATTGATGTTTCTCTCTCATATATATGTTTCTCTCTGAAATCAATAAAAGTACATTTTTAAAAATAAGATAAAATAATTTATGTACTCAGCACAATTTTAACCAGTTTCTAAAGTTCTATTAACCTTTCTATACTCACCAATGTCAAAGTTATATATACAATTGATAGTTGGCATCACAGATCTTAGAAGTTTATAATGTGCCCAGATATAGATTATTAATTTTTTAATTTAAATTCTTCCTCATATCAATTTGGTTTAAAATCTACCTAAAAGCTTTCAAGCCTTGTGCCTTTATTTTGTTTGACTGAATATTCTCAGACTTGTTTTTCTGCACCAAGCTGACGGTTATGTTAGAAAGATGAAAAAGGAGAACTTCACTGATTAAATTTAGCTCATGTGGAATAAATAATTCAGTAAAGAGCTACAGGTTACAAGTGTCTTTCACATTTGTTTCATTTGTTTAGTGGAGTGGACCACCACATGTATATGTATGATACTCAAAAAGGCTATTATCTCCATCTGTTTAATTAACTGATCATTTAAATGACTATTATAGTTAAATTTAAAAAAGCAAAAAGCTACAAGTCAATGCTAAGTATTTAAGAGAAAATGACCTTGCTCAAAACTAGAGTCTGGCAGGTTTTAATAAGAGTATGAAGTTGTGAAGAGAAACGAAAACATTTCTTTCAAATATGTCAGAGCTTTTTACTGTTGAGTCAACCAGGAGATAAAAATGAAGAAAACAAGATAAAAATGTGCAGTAAAACAAGTAAAAGAAACAGATGAATGGTAGCATAAAAGTCATCCTTGCAGTAGTTTGATTTTCATTCACACACAAAAAATCCCCACTATTGTAACAAGACTGTATAGCATTTGAGCTACTATTAGACTCTAACTGTGTACACAGAATCCAGTAAGAACTGGATAGTCACTGCCTAGAAAACAGTATAAGGATTGCCTACAGAACCTTCTCAGACCTTATCTATGGGAAGAAAGAGGTAACTTGCCCTCCTTAGCCAAAAACACAGATTTTTTTTTCTCTCTAAAAGGTAGGCTAAGCCCCTATTTACCTAGCTTTTTGTTGGTGGAGGAGAGTGGAACATCTTCCATGCCCAGATTTGAAAACTGAGGTCTTGAGAGAGATTTGATAGCATTCCTATTTTGTTGAGAATTCTGAGTAGGGTGCATAGTCAAAGACTTGGACTCAAAATCAAAGACACCATTTTCCAGCACGGATCCTGTCAAAGAAACAGAGTGTTTTAGGCAAGACTTAAGGATAAATCAATCAAGCAGTCTTAAGTGTACACAAAGAAAAAAGGTAGAAATATTTTAGGCAAAACTAAATTTCTTTTAATCTCTCCCCCCAAAAAATGATGTTGCTTAAATGGCTGTGAACAAAATCGATTAAGCCAAATCAGCTGAATGAGGCTCTCTGGCTTTGCTCTAGGCAGCGTCCTGAATGAAGAAAAGGCTGTGCTAACCCATCTCCAGATAGACTAGCTTGTTCCTTGTACCTGTAGCTTCCTTGTAACTTTTGATAGGTTCTATAAATTATGTTGAGGGAAAAAGAGCTTTATACTGTGCTAGGGCATGAAGAGTTTAAAATCTTTAAGGAATAGAAAGAGCAGAGTTAGAAAACGAGAGAGCCCGCTCCAAATAAAAAAAAAGAAGCCACTGACTATCTTTGGTTTGTTTGAGGTCACTTTAGGCCTCAACAATTATATTTTTCTTTGTCTTTCTGTGCTTGCGCAAATCAATAAAAGAACATAAGAAAGAACAGCATAATTCTTAAACTGCCATTACATTTATAAAGCCAGTGCAACTGAGCAAGGAGAACTGGATTAACAAATAAGTAATTAAAAAAACTATTTTAAGAGATATTCCCAATATCTTCCCAACACTCATCAAAATGGTTAATAAAACAAAGGAAAACATACAAAATATGTAAATTTACAACTAACACTAATCTTAACTCTGTATTAGAAAACAAATGTGAGACTATAAAAACCAACAGTCTACTTCATGGATTTACAGTTATTATCATATATTTCTCACTGTGTTGGATCTTAGAATAATATCAACATCAATTCATTATAATAATTTTCCTTAATAAGTGTACAATTTAAAAAATCTTAAAGCCGGAACCGGTTTGGCTCAGTGGATAGAGTGTCGGCCTGCGGACTGAAGGGTCCCGGGTTCGATTCCAGTCAAGGGCATGTACCTGGGTTGCGGGCACATCCCCAGTGGGGAGTGTGCAGGAGGCAGCTGATGTGTTTCTCTCTCATCGATGTTTCTAACTCTCTATCTCTCTCCCTTCCTCTCTGTAAAAAATCAATAAAATATATTTTAAAAAAAATCTTAAGGGCATCTTCTGTAGTCGACTGCTTTAAACTGAAATTAAAATATGAGACAATGGAAAATAATTATATTTTTCTAGGCCATAGATAATTACAAAATGTGACTCTTTCATATGAGCGGTAACAAAAACTAAAAAGTAAGAGACTAACTAGATTTAATTTGATTGCTTTCTCAACCAGGAAGCCCCTGGCTGAGAATGCAACTTTTCAAAGATCTGTTAATAAACTCACCTGTTCTGTCCAGCACATCTGGCATGGAAGACTCAGGATCCTCCAATTCTCTGGCATCTATTGAAAGTGTCTCCATACCTTCACTGAGTGAATCCACAGACTCAGTATCATTGATGGCACCATTAACATGGTAACCATTAATACCACCTTTTTCTGGAGAAGGCGTGGACTGCTCCTCTTGAATAGAAACCAATTTACTGGAATCTAGGATACTGTTACTTGCTTCGATTGCAGGTTTTGGTTTGCTTTTCTTCTTTTTGTTCTAATGATTATTAAAGATTTGAAAAAAGAAAAGGAAGAAAAGACCCCCCCCCCAACACAGAGAGGTTACTCTAGCTACCCAAAGGCAACCAATGTTACCAATTTCTCATATGCTCTTCCAGAAACTGAACACATTGCTGTATATGTGAAATTACTAACTAAAATAACTATGTAAAATACTTTGAATAAACTCAAATGCATAAATATAAGAAATTTATGCATAGTAAAATACACCAAAAGCAAAATCAAAAGATAAATTACAAAATGTGAAAAAATATGTACAACTTACATACAAAGAGCCAAATATATTTTGAGCTCTAACAAAAACAAAACAACTCAATAGTAAAAAATGGTAAAGGATATAAGTATATGAAATGATACGCAACCTCAGTAATAAGAGACATAAATTAAAACTGCGCTGCAGAGGATTCTGGGAAGATGGCAGAGGAGGAAGCATCAGGAATCTGTTGCCCCACCTAGCCTGCCTTAAACAGGCTCAGAACACTTACATTAGCCTACAGTTGGGCAAAATCATCTAACAGTGAATACAATGTAGAGTATCTATCGGTTGTTTACACTCATTATCAGGTGGCTGACTGGGAGCTGCAGCTGTCCAGCATCATGAGCAAGTGTCACACTACATATTGCTAGCCTGGGAAAAGATAAAAATTCAAAGTATGGTTTCTACTGAATGCTACTACTTTCCCACCATCGCCAAGTCAAAAGTTCATAAGTCAAACCATTCTAAGTTGGGGTCCTTCTGTACAACATACTGTCCTCGGGCATGAAGAGTTTTGATAGGATGCAGTGAAAGCAGTGTCAAGAGAAAATTTATAGTTATAAATGCTTACATTAAAAACAAGAGCCCTAACTGCTTTGGCTCAGTGGATAGAGCCACAGCCCTCCGACAGAAGAATCCTGGGTTAGATTTGGGTTAAGGGCATGTACTTCGCCCCCGGACCAGTAGGGGGCGCGCTCAGGAGGCAACCAATCAATGTGTTTCTGTCACATGTAAATGTTTCTCTTTGTGTCTCCCCCTCCCTTCCACTCTCTAAAAAGCAATGGAAAATATCCTTGGGTGAGGATTAACAAAAAATAAAAATAAATACAAATATCATGGAAAAATACCCTCAGGTGAGGATTAACAAAATAAAGTAAAAAAAAAATTGCAGGCAGAGAGAATATATATATTCATGTTTGCTCATATATGCATAAAATATCCTGGAAGATAAACAAGAAATTGATAATACTGTTTATTTCTGGGGTGGGGAACCAAATGGCTGGGGAACAGGGATAGGATAAAGACGTTTCAGTATATGTATTAATTTCTGTAGCTTTGAATTTGGAGCCACATGAATATATTACCTAGGCAAATAGTCAAATTAAAACAAACAAAAAAAGTCCTTTACCTTTTATTTTAACAAATCATAGCTCTACTAGCAATACTTAATTCTATTCCTAAGGCTGTACTGACATGATTGAATCAGTTTTCCCCCAAACCCTTCTCATGGCCCTAACAGGAACACTACTGGAACTCTAGATATAACTTTCTCCTCACAGCTCTCATCTTTTTTTTCTTAAATATTTTCTCTCATGTGAACTGGGTAAGTTTTCATATCATTGTCCCATGTATATAATAGCTGTCCCAGTAACTGCTCATAGTAATATCCTATTGAACTAATCTCAACAGTTAACTGGACTGGACTTGGCATTTGGGACTGCCAAACTGAAGCCAATTTTCTTTCTCTAAATTTTAAGAAATTTATGTGTCTCTAACACATACTTTTCCAGCTGCAAGCATATGTTACATCACTAAATAACTTACTATTCTGGATCAGTAAATTAATAAACTGATGTTTCCAGAGCACACAGAGCTATTTATGTTAGATGAAAGCAACGAGAAGAAGTTAAGCAAATATTCAAAGCTCTAGGTAGGGAGAGCTATAGGGGGATCTGTAGTAACATTAGGTTCTCCTTGGAAAAAACTCTCAAGGGTCACTCTCAAGCCTGGTTTGGTCAAGACTTAATAGATCTCTTATGAAGTGATTTAGAGTCATCAAGAAGGCATTTCAAAACTCTAGTACTAACCTGATATAGGAAAAGAATTTTCCAAAGGGCTTTCATAGAGATACCTGATTAAAATTCATACTTCAAGCATTTCCTAAAGAAGCTAGATTTAGAGTACAGGGCTGTGGAAAGCATTTTGAGACCAGCTAGTATCCTTTGGGGAAAGCATTTTGGTTTCAAGTGGACAAGGAGAAGGAAATGAGAATCAGTATGTTAGAAATTAGGTACTAGTATTCATTATTATTATTTTCCTATTTCAGAGATGAGCAAACTAAGGCACACAAGGATAAACAATACTCCCAGGTTGCAAAGCCTGTAAGTAGAACAGGATATAAATCCTGTTCTGATCGACTCCACAGCCCAAGTGCCTTTCCCTCTCTAAATTGGAACACCAGACCCCTCTGTATAACTAATAATAGCAAAGACCCTCTTTGGGCTTAAAGTCAAAGGTCATTAATACCAGAGATTACAACACAGTTGTCTGACCTAAGAACCTAAACTATTTTAACTGATCTATGTTAAGAATAATGTTGAAACCACTGGACTAGATCACTTTCTCTAGTGGAGCTCTGCTTTCCTTGACATACTCTCTCTCTTGTTTCATTCCTGCCAAGTATTAATACACCTTCAGCAACTCCACCATGGTGGTGTCATTGTTTCCTGTCTTAAATCACATGGAGGAGATTGTATGGTACTCTATGTACACAGCTGTGTTTCAATGTCACAGAAGACTTTTTTAAACCAGGTGAACTGAAGATGCATATGTAAATCTTTTCTTTCAAATATTTTTGCAGCCTAAATATTTTTATAATATCAACATCATGCTTTTAAATTTCATTCATTTTTACCTTTTTCTTGCCTGTTACTGTCCATTCTTTGAGTACTTCATTGGCACTACCTGTAAGAGAAACCAATCACAGATTTTCTCTGCTACCACATGCATGGTCAAGAAGGAATAGGTGTCTCTGCTTTTTGTAAATGCTAGAGAATTTCTAAAGTTCGTAACAGGAAAGTTAAGGTTCAAGTCTCTGAGCTAATGTAATGAGATAATCATATCATGCTTATCTTTTGCAATACCTGCCCATTTAGATTCCCCTTCTCCATGTAATTTTCTCAGTAAGTTCTTCCAAGAAGAGACTAATGTAGCCTGACCATTTTGAAATTCTTTTATATAACTTAGATCAAATACAAAGATGAGTGGTTTCAGCCCACGTATGCTATCCCCTCTCCTCCAGAAGATTACACACCACTTTGGCTATGTTGTTTTAGAGAGCTGTACACTACCCTAGACCCAAATGCTAACATTATCAAGAAGACAGATGACAATGAAGAAAAACCATATAGTATTTGGACCTGTTTATTCTATACTGGCAGAAAAACAGAAACAGGGAGACTTAATCTGATGTACCTATTCAATGATGAGATATCTTTTTTAAATGGCATGATATGTTATATTATCATGAGGTCTACTATATCATCTATGAAATACCAGGTTTTTAAATGAATATTATAGAAGTTTGAAGCAACTTCTATTTGAAAAAACACAAACTTATTAAAAAACTAAATTGGGATTACCTTCCATAAATGCTTGTACTGTTTTGTCCACACAATTATCAAAGTGCTGCAAAACCAGGATGATTTCATTGTTGCTCCTATTGGGAACTATTGCACGCACTGCATTTATCTGGAAAAGATGACAGGGTCATTAAATTTTAACATCAGTAGGTCAGTTGGCAACTGAGACCTGTTACACAATGACATTTCATTCTTAACAATATGTATCACTCTTTAGCGTCAATGAGAGTACATACAACCATCTCACTAGGAATGATTAATAGATGAGTGATAACATCACATAAAAATTAATTTCAAAACTTAGAAAAGCAGAACATTTCTAGAAATAGAAAGTATATGCTAGATTTTGCTCAAAGAAAGGGAGGTCTAATTTAGATATCAAGTATTAATTTTAGCATCAACCTTTCCTCATTTTTAGCATACTGTAGAGAAAGGTGGAAAGTTTATGAACCACCACCAATAAGAACTTCGATTTTTATACAGCATTTTTGAAACATTTTATTTCGTATCATTTAATTGTATAACACTATAAAGATAACAATTCCTAACCAAGGACAAACCTTCAGCTTTATGGCCCTGTGTGGTAAAACCCATTTGTTATGAAGAATGGCAAAACACATTCCCTCTATACACTTAGCCTCAAGGGATTTTCCTAACTTCTGTTCAGCTATGCATTTAAAATTATGTATGTTTTTTTTATTCTATATTTCTTGGTATTTTATATTATGAATGCTTTCAAGTTATCTAGTCAGCAATACTGCTTGAAAAGGAAGTCCTTTTATAGATGAGAAGAGGTATCTTGTCCAAGTAATAAGCAGAGTCTTAGAACCTAAGTCTTTTTTAGTACACTTGCTTTCATATCATTCTATACATTTATTATTTCAGGCTTAATTAATGATAAGGTTTAAAACCATATAAGTGGAAAGGTATATAATCTATAATCCAAAGAGGGATAATTTATAATTATACATTTTTGAGATGAACAAAATACTTAGCACTAATCACTAGAAAATGGACTTTAGGCAAAATTTACAAATTCAGCAATAAAGGTAAGATTCTGGTAACTTAAAATGTGGAAGTGTTTATATTATTAATGTACTATATTTTTTGCCAATCTGAAAAAATAAAATTGGTATAATTTTGATTAATTCACACTAGACGACTATTGTTATGTTGGCTGTTATCATCTTTTTACTTGATAATCTAAGGAAAAAGAGGTCAGTGTCCCTAACTAAATAGTCAGGTACTGCATGTTTTAAAAATTCTTGCAGCACACTGGTTGAAAATCGCTGATCTGCCCAGCCAGTGGCTCAGATTTATAGATCAAGAGCATTGATCTATAAATCTGGAGGTCGCAATTCGATTCTGGTCAGGGCATGTGCCCGGGTTGTGGGCTCTGCAGGAGGCAGCCGATCAATGATTCTCTATCATGGATGTTTCTCTCTCTCTCTCTCTCTCTCTCTCTCCTCCTTCCTGAAATCAATAAAAATATTTTTTTAAAAGAAAATTGCTCATATACATACAGTAACTAATCATACCTTCTCTTTCATGTTTTCAAAAGTTCCTCCCTGGGCCAGTACAGTATTGGACTGCAAATCGAAAATGAATCCTGATGAATCTGAAAGAATGAGAAGGAAAAATATATTCCACAATATCTAAAACTGACATGTGATCATCTTCCAAACAGAAGGGCCTTAAACAGTTAACAACTTATGTATTTTGCAAACTCTATTATATAGATAACTGATAACTACACTTGAATTAAAATTATAGAAATAAAGTTTTATTTTAATAGAAACTGTAACAACTTAAGAAAAACACTAAATACATCAACTATATTAAACTGTCCAGTAATCCTTGATATCTTTGTTAACTATCTTAATTTAAAAGGCCCTCTATAAATGTTGCAAGTCAATGGCTCCCCAAGGTAAAATTTAACACTAACAAATCTGAAAATGTGAGTGAGGATGAGAGCTCCTGTGGCATTAACAATAACAACACATGAAAGTAATTTCAGTTTTCTAGAGTGCACCACACACATCATGTTTTTAGACTATTAACCTAACGCTTGACGATCAATGTGCTGGAGTTTACATCACCAGCACAACTCGGGAAAACTTAAGTTTAATGTGATTTATTACAGAAAAGAGTTTGGCTTCCTAGCACTTATAAAGAAAAGGTTATCTGCAAATTTAATCCATTTCTTTACCTGAGACCATGTCATCAATAAATTACCTCCACTTTAAACACTTAACAATTTTGTTTTAATCTAATGAGATGCAATCCAGGAAATGGTTACACTGTTTCTCAGATTATGATGTATATACTTATCTGGGGCATTTTAGCTTAAAATGTAGGTTTTGATTTAGTAGTCTAGCCTGTGGCCTGAGATTTTTACTCCCTGGTGGTATCAACATTGCTGATCCATGCACCATACTTGGGAGTAGTTTGGGGTTTAGAATTTCAACAAAGCAAGGAAAAGGGAAAGTTTTTTAAAAAGGGGGTTGCTACGGTCTGAATGTTTGTGCGCCCTCCCTCCCCCATTCATATGTCAAAATTCTAAAGTGATGGTATTAGTGATTGGGGCCTCTGGAAGGTAAATAAATCCTGAGTGGAGCCCTCATGAATAGGATTAGTGCTCTTATAAAACTGACCGCACAGAGCTCCCTAGCCCCTGCAACCATGTTAAGACGCAAGGAGAAGTCTGCCAGCAAGAACAGGGCCTTCACCCAACCATTTGACACTCTGATCTCAGACATCCAGCCTTTAGAACTGTGAGAAATTAATTTATGTTGTTTATAAGCCATCCATTTTGTTACAGTAATCTGAAAGGACAGGGGTTTAAAAAAATACAGCAATATTTCAGTACATTTTCCAAATTCTTTTTCTATTATAACAGATGTATTTCAATTAAAGCCTCTTTTACAGCTCAGTCTTTATCCTGTGTTTTCAAATACCTCCTAGTTGCTATGGAAGATTGATAAGTTAAAATGATAACGCATTTTGGTACTAAAAGTAGAAAAGAGGATATGAATACAATGTATGTCATTCCAAGAGAAACTATGCTTGCCAATTACCAATGAACCGTGAATTCATTTACATTTAACCTCTCTGTAATACTGGCAGTTTTGAGACTGTTAACAAATAAAAAATCAGACTGCACTTACACAAACTCAGTACTTAAACCTGAGTTTTCCAGATGACTACATAATATGATTAATTCCCAATTATCTATAATAATAAAAGTATAATATGCTAATTAGACCAGACAGCCGAACAACCTCCTGGATGTCATTCCGGACAAAGCTGTGGCAGCAGGGGCCGAGGCAGAGGTGATTAGGGGTGATCAGGCAGGCAGGCGAGCAGTTAGGGGTGATCCGGTAGGCAGGCAGAGTGGTTAGGGGCGATCAGGCAGGCAGGCGAGTGGTTAGGGGCGATCAGGTAGGCAGGCAGAAGTGGTTAGGGGTGACCAGGCAGACAAGCAGTTAGGGGCATCAAGCAGGCAGAAGTGGTTAGGGGTGACCAGGCAGACAAGCAGTTAGGGGCATCAAGCAGGCAGGCAGAGTGGTTAGGGGCGATGAGGCAGGCAGGCGAGCAGTTAGGGACAATCAGGCAGGCAGGCGAGTGGTTAGGGGCGATGAGGCAGGCAGGCAGAGGGGTTAGGGGCGATCAGAAAGGCAGGCAGAGTGGTTAGGTGCGATGAGGCAGGCAAGCATAGTGGTTAGGGGCAATCAGGCAGGAAGGCAGGCAAGCGGTTAGGAGCCAGTGGTCCCGGATTGCGAGAGGGTGCAGGCCAGGCTGAAGGACTCCCCAGCCCCCCACGTGCAAGAATTTTATTAATAATTGAAGAGACACAGTACATACGATGAAAATCCTATATAGCCAAAATACTATCCAACAATCTTCTCAGAATCGCTGTAGGTTAGCCAAATGAGATATTAATGAGCAGTGAGATGATACCTAGGAATTCAATTATCTTATTAGAGAATCAAACCACCAATCTTTTTTAGGGAAAAGAGGAGACACAAAGTAAAGCAACATTTCAGTGTCTATCTTAAAATGAACTATTAGTATTACTAGCTTCTTATACATCATCTAACACTTTATTTCTTTTCTTTAGATGAAATAAAGTGCAAGGAAAACAAGAGTAGTTCTGCAAACACTTTCAGTTATTATTCCCTCAAAATTAGCACAGTATTATTAGAGTTTATCTGGCATACCAATTAGGATAATGGTTAAAAATACATAGGGCATGCCGAAACCGGTTTGGCTCAGTGGATAGAGCGTCGGCCTGCGGACTGAAGGGTCCCGGGTTCGATTCCGGTCAAGGGCATGTACCTGGGTTGCAGCACATCCCCAGTGGGAGATGTGCAGGAGGCAGCTGATCGATGTTTCTCTCTCATCAATGTTTCTGACTCTCTATCTCTCTCCCTTCCTCTCTGTAAAAAATCAATAAAAATATATTTAAAAAAAATTAAAAAAAAAATACATAGGGCAGCTATTTCCGTCAGGATCACAGCATGAAACAAATGGCACACTCAAATCAGGAAAACTGAGGAGAGTTTTTAAAAAAGACTATTTTATAAGGTGCTATTAGGGAGTAGGGAAACCACAAGATGCAGTGCAGTTACCCCTTGGCTAATAGCAGCAATGTGCATTGCTACCCTGAGGTTTTGAAGAGGCATAAGGAGACAGCAATTACTGGAACCCAGAGACAGAGGGGTTTTTCATCTTTGTTTCATCTGTTGTGGTAGGGCGATAGGACAGTAGCTATAACAGTGGTTCTCAACCTTCCTAATGCCGAGACCCTTTAATACAGTTCCTCATGTTGTGGTGACCCCCAACTATAAAATTATTTTCGCTGCTACTTCATAACTGTAATTTTGCTACTATTATGAATCGTAATGTAAATATCTGATATACAAGATGTATTTTCATTGTTAAAAATTGAACATAATTAAAGCATAGTGATTAATCACAAAAACAATATGTAATTATATATGTTTTCCGATGGTCTTAGGCGACTCCTGTGAAAGGGTCGTTCAACCCTCAAAGGGGTCGCAACCCACAGGTTGAGAACCGCTGAGCTATAACCTTTGGTCAAAGGTCACAGTAAGCCCAGTGACCCCTCAGGGAAAGATTGGGGAAATAAATATCCCTACCTCACTCTCCTCCTTGCCTCAATGCTACCCAATGGCTAAACCCAACCAGAAGCCCAAGGGCAAGAGAGCCCTTAAGGGAATACTTATCTTTCAATAATGAGTTCACCAAAAAGGGAAAACAATAGTTTAACATCTTAACTTGTCTATTCACCAGCTATATTGCCTCTTAAACCAACAAATCAAGTACATTCATATCTTGTATCAAAGAACTAGAGCTTAAGTGCCTTTCAGCATTACAGAGAAAGTTATTTTTAATTCCAATCAACAATATTTAATGATTTAACAATTCTCTTATTTTTACATGCAAAGAAAGCTCAAGATTTATTTAACTTCATTGGTAGAAAAAAAGGAAGAATCTCATCCTGTGACTGAAGAGCATGCATACTCTATCAGAAATAAATTTTTACAGCAAAACAAAATGCAGTTAAATACTATTATCAGGCAAGATTCATAAAGGATACGAGGAACACTTGAGATTGAGTTTTCTTTTTATCATTTATTTCCCTCTATTAGGAACATTTTGGAAAAAGTATGTTCTTTACAGTATCACTGACATATTTGTAAATACTGCAGGCTTTGTTATTATTGTTTTTGCTGGATTAAAAAAATAAGGCAAAAGTTATTTTAGGCATTGAGAATGACATAGAAATGTCTGAGTCTGATTATACCATATAGCAAACTAACCATGAACAGGTTTTTTAATTTAAGTATAATTAACATTTATATAACACTAGAGGCCCGATGCATGAAATTCATGCATGGGTAGGGTCCCTAGGCCTGGCCGATGATCAGAGCCCATCTGTGGGGTGACTGGCAGGGCAATTGGGCCCCGCCTCCCCACCCCCCACTCCTGCTAGCACCCGCCTTGGCTGGCCTGGGGCCTGCGGACTGGGGGCAGCTCCTGCTTTGAGTGTCTGCCCCCTGGTGGTCAGTGCGCATCATGGCAACTGGTTGTTCCACCGGTTGTTCCCCCGTTCAGTCTATTTGCATATTAGGCTTTTATTATATAGGATTAGTTTCAGGAACACAACATAATGATTTGATATCTGTATATACTGTGAAATGATCACCACAATAAGTCTAGTTAACATCATTTACCATACATGGTTACAAAACTCTTAGCAACTTTCAAATATGAAATACAGTATAATTAACTACAGTCACCATGCTGTGTATTACAGCTCAGGACTTACTTTATGACTGGAAGTTTGTACCTTTTGGCCCTCTTTACCCATTTCACACACACCCCCTATGAACCACCCCTGTCTCTGATAACCAGCAATCTATATTCTCTGTTATCTATGAGCTAGATTTATTTTTGTATTGATTTTCTTTTTTAGATTCCACATTTGATATTTGTCTTTCTGATTTATTTCACTTAGCATAATGCCCTCAAGGTCCATCCATGTTGTCACAAATAGCAAGATTTCCTTTTTTCATGACTGAATAATAATAA